ACGGACATAATGTGCCTGGAAGGATTAAGTAAATTGAAAAAAAATCCACCTCATCGGGATTGGATCCCGTGACCTTCATTGGGGGTGAAGTGGCCAGGATGTAAACCTGACCAATCCCCTCCATCTAGCATCAAGCTTAAGAATGCATGGAGTTCTGGGACAACATGAATTCCACTGATACAAAAGCTCAGAGAATACTGATGGCCTCAGAAAGATGAATCACGGGTTGAAACGTGCTGTGAAAGAGGTTCAGTGAAGTTGAAAGTCTGCCATATACAGCAGTATCTCACATAGTCCAGCTTCAATTAGTCTGAATTCACTATAGTCCAGTTTGAAAATTTCAAAACAAACTAATTTTTAATTGAGCAAAATAAAAATAAATTCTAAAAACTTAGTACACAAAATTATTTTTAATACATAAATGATCGTTTTCCCCCCCTTTATACAGTTGAGTCTCTTTTTGTGCAATTTAGTTTTATGTGGTTTTAAAGTCATGCGGTACGATACATATTTCAGTCTTTTGTGGGGTTCCCCATTGTATATGTATATACCTATATTATATTAAGCATCCTGTTGCACTTTATACGATATATGATATAACTCTGTCCTAACTGCAAACTATATTTATAGGTCTTTCGTTTTGTTCTCCTCTATACACTACATGTTTTGGCCCCAAACGACCATCATCAGGTGTATATACTCATGTATCTGTTATACTGCACTTATTTATAACATTTAAAATTTAAAAACATAGGTCTTCCTGATTGTTCCTTTCGTTGTTATTACCAAAATCTACTTTGTTGATATCTTTGTTATTTACACGCGTCAATTTTGATTTCTCTGAATTAGCATTTATAAAATCTTCAATTCTAATTTTAAATCCTTTAAAAACTTTTTCTCTAAATTTTAAAATTTAAAATTGTCAGGGTTACTCGCCCTATGTCTATAGTGCTGCAGCGGCTTCTTCTTGTTTCTAGTATTGTATAGGTATTATTCTGTGTACTCTCCCTGTGTGCGTGCCGCTGCTTATCTTTACCACACGTAGTATCGCTGAACCATAAACAATGCAATTTGTTGGTACAAAGAACTGTATGAAGAGAAAAGGCCAAAGAAGAAAAATATGCAGACATCAATATTGCAGTTTTTAGAGAATAAAAAATGAATTGCGATAAACATGAATTTTTTAAAATTATTTATTCAAAATGGAGATTTTTTTGGAACCAATTATCATTTTTTGTATGTATTTAGTTCCTCAATTAGTCCGGTTTTAAATGGTGTGGGATATTGGCAGAACCAGTTACCCAGATTACGCGAGGTATTGCTGTAATGATTTTATTATAAGAGATCCCATGGTTATCACAGTCAACTTATGTTTAAGCCATCTAGGAATATTTTTCCTGAAAACCCTACAGTATTCAGCATAAAAGAATATTTTTAAAAATTCTGCTACCTGGGAAGGAATATTCTTGCCAGAAATAAAAAAGAATTAAGCCAGACTGTTGACAGAATAAATACAGAATACTCTGGACTGGAAAAAGTGTAAAATAAGGGAAGAAAATACATGCTGTATTACTCAATAGCAATGTAATGGACAATGAGTTCATGACCTCTGATTTAACTTAAAATACATTGGGGTATGTACAGTGCAATAGTTTATATGTAGAAATAAGCACTCTAAACAAAAACTGTTTGGAATGAAACACTGTTCAGGTGCCTTGGGACTCCATTAGAACCAGGTTAATTGTGAAGAAAGCAGTCTTCTGGGATTTGGCACCGTGTATATGTGGTGTTAACCGACGTTTCGGAGGAACGTATCGCCCCCATCTTCAGGGTTGAAGAAGTATAAGTAAATCTGCAAGCGACAACACCGTGAGACACGGTCAAGCACGGTTCCTCCGAAACGTCGGTTAACACCACATACAGGGTGTCCCAGGAGGAATGGACCAAACTTCGGGAGGGTGTTCCTTATGTTAAAGTATGCCGATATAACCCAAAACACCTATGTCCAAAGTTGAACGGTTACGGNAAATAATATGTTGTATGAATTTGGGCATCACTAGACAATAGACAGTGTACCAGAAGCCGTAAATAAACCCATACATTATCATATGAAGTTGGAAGAATTTCAAGACTTTATAAATTTGAACAGTTGTAAATAGGCCTACATATGAAAACAGTTAACAACAACAAAAGTTTGTCTCCTGGACAGATATTAACACGCATAAATATGAACAAATAATTATCCTGTAATAGTGCTATTTCTCTAAATATTTTTTAGTTATGTTTACAGGCGACATTAGAAGTTCTACCTGCAGAGGTCATATTAAACATCAAAGAACAGCTGAAGTATAAGGAAATGAGAAAAGAAATTGCAGATTTCCTATTATAGTATTTAAATTTACATCTTAAACCAAATAAGATCACTGTGTCCAACAGCTGTGTTATTTCATTGCAGAATAAGTCTTCATAAACATAGTACTATAATTTCAGTCAGTTAAGATTTCTAGCTATTTAAGAGAAATCAAACTGCTGATGAATGTAAATAAGTGCATAGTTCTTTTTTATCAGACATGAACTCACATCAGTTGGTACAAATTCTTTTTTATTTCAATTTTTAAATTAAAAATAGGAACAATTTTGGAAGTATTTTTTATGTTTTAGAAAAATCATGCTACAATGGTCAATATTTTTTAATGGAATATTATGCTAAAATATGTTAGCAAACAAAAGAAAACTGTAATATTTAAACTCTGTGTAATATATATTAGTTTCTAGATAATAAATTCTTTTTTTCTCATGAATGTAGTAAATTATATACTATGCAATCATGTACCTGGGTCACTGATTTGTAAAGTACATGTATGATGGTGGTTCAAGGTTAACCTGCACTCTGAGGGTGTAGGCAGTGGAAAAATAAAACTCTTATGGACGTTGATGGCAACACCGCACTCAGTTCCTGGCATGTGGGCATGTGCCCTGCTTCTGCACATTAGCGTCTGTACAGGATGGCATCAGACCTTGTCACTCCTAGTGCAGAGTAGCACAGTATCATGTTCCTAATGAAAGAGAACAGGAAATCAGCTGACGTTCTTTGTAGATTAAATGTACAGTAGAGGAAAGAAACCCTGTCACAGGCAAATGATTGTGATTGATACATTAAGTTTTCTGGAGGCTGTAAAGAAGGCCCAACCCTGCATGCTCTTGTTCAGCCAACAGTGCATAATATTGCATCTAACAGTGGCATAAGTGTTTGAAGTGTTGAAACAGTTACCCATGAATAGTTATTGTTCAAGAAAGTGTGTTCCTGTTGGGTACCAAGATGTTAATGTTTTAGCAGAAGGTGCTGCATGTTGCTGTGTCTGCCAAACATCTGCACTGGTTTCAATTGGAAGGAAAGACATTCCTAGAGTGAACACTGACCTGTGATGAGACATGGGTTCACCACTTCACTTCAGAGTAGAAGTGGTGAGGCATGGTATGGCATTACAAGGGACTTCCATCACCCGAAAAAACTGAAGGCACAGCTGTTAGCTGGCAAAATCATGGCAAGCGTGTTGTGGGATTCAGGACTTTTCCTTTCACATGATGTAACAGAAGCTTGCTTTGCAATAATGTGCACCAAGCGATTCAGAGGAAGAGATCTGGCAAGCTGTCAAGATAGCACTCATCCACATAACAAAAAAATTGACAAAGGTTTGATAGGGACAACAATTGGCTGGGAAATCATGAAGCACCCTCCTTGCAGCTCTGACTTAGTCCCCAGTGATTTTCATTTGTTAGGATCAATGAAGGTGCACTTGGGGTGGGGGGAGGGCAGAAATTTGAAATTGATGATGAACTCAAACATGGTGTCCTGAACTGGCTACACAGTCAAGATAAAATCTTTTATGTGCTGGAATCAGCAACTTGCCATGGTGATGGAGAAAGTTTCAAAGTAGTGGATGCATTATTTAGTGGGGAAACTAAATCTCTGGTAACAACCTAAGACAAAATGCCTATGGCCACAACTAGGAAAGATCCTGAAATACTTCAGTCTCATTTAATATCATCCTCCCAGTGTTTTGATTTTCCACATGACTGCTACATGATTAGCTCATCCCTCCTGGGATTCCTTCCATTTACTATGTGATATGAGGATCTAAGTATCTAAACTTGAACCAGCCTGATGCATCCGTCGCGCTTTCTCTTCCATCTATAATGCAACACACTTTTTATTTTAGATGACACCAAACTCAGCTAACTAAAATGTCATTAAAATATATATTCTATGTCTGGCCACATGTTTCAGCCTCACAGGGCCATCTTCAGGCAACATGGACCCTGTTGCACAGTGCTCGCTTCTGTCAATAGTACTCATACATAGATATTTAATACTCATACCAGTTGAATGTAAGTTTGGTGCCATCTAAAATAAAAAGTGTGTTGTATTATAGACATAAGAGAAAGGATGAGTGATACTTCACTGCAAGAGGATGCTGAAATATAATATTCTGACATATCCATCACAGTAGAACACAGAACTGAACTGAGCAATGTATTCAACTTCCAGGATACCAAGACATTAGTTAAAACATCGGGTAACATGGATCAGCTTGTTAAAGAGATAACAGATATTATTACACCTGAATAACAGCAGTAGGGAAGAACCCTTTAAACTAATTCAAGCATGGAACCACATTATTAGAGTTCTAAAAATTCCTGACATTGGTTAAACATGTCAAAAAGGGTATCTACATTCAGACTATCTTTCTCCAGTATATGCAGTAGGGTACAACATCAGAAGCGGAGGTGAAGACCACTCAACTTCATTCTGCCCTCCTACCAATAAGGGAGAAGCATCATACTGGCTGCCTGATACATACAAGTATATCAGCCACTTAAGTTGTCACCACATAAACATGGACAATGAACACACAGCAAGTGTCCAAAATATTGGTTTTGGCCTAGACTTTTACTTGGCTGTCACAAAAGAAGATTCAATGGCATAAACACTTTAAAATCTTACATAAAAACAATGTACTATGTGAGTTGTAAAACCATGAAGTTCTTAATTATATAATATTCTCGATTCTCCACTTTACCTTTGTTAAGTACTAACAGAAGTGTTATTTGCCTAGGTCATGGTTGCTGGCTAGATAAGCATCTACGATGGACTATGCATACACAAAAGTTAGCGAACAACTTATGTAAAGTATGTTTTGGCATAAGAGTAGTTAGAAGAGTAACTGGACTAGAGACTGGCTGCACGTTATATTATGCTCATTTCCAGTCTTTGTTATCATACAGACTGATATTTTGGGGCACCTGGTAAATGCAAAATTGATCTTTAAATTACAGAAGAGAGCTATACGAGCTATGACCCAGGTCCCATAAACGACTAGTTGTAAACAAATTCTCAAATCATTACATATATTACCTCTACCATCTTTGTACATATACGAAACTCTAATATACATAAAATCCAATTTGAATGATTTCACAACCAACTCAGGATTACACTCATACAACACAAGGAAAAAGATGACTTGCACATTGTCCCATGTAATACAAGTCTATGCAAGAACAACTTCAACAATGTAGGACTTCGACTGCTAAATCATCTGCCACGATATATTAAAGAAATACCGGTACTACATCAAAAGCGCTTTGAAAACGTAGCTACTCGATCATTGTTTTTATAAAGTGGATGAGTTTCTCTCATGTCAGACACACTAATCAATTATAACCACATAATTCATGAATAATCGGTTTTGGGAATCCCTACTGCGCAGTTTTCCTTTCTTTCTTCCNGCTGTGGTCTAGTCAAGTGGGATTTGTGATGGACAAAGTGGCGCTGGGACAGGTTTTCCCCAAGTACTTCGGTTTCCCCTGCCAATCCTCATTCCATCAAATTCTCCATAAGAATTATCACCGGTACAGGTACAATAGGACATATGGAAGCCAATGTGCCGAGGGGACCTAATATGGATTCCACCTCACACTATATGAAATCTTAACTATTGTAATCTAGTGTAAACAATTTTAAGTACTGTAACTTTATTCTCTTATTATAATCAGCTGATGTACAGTAACTGACTTGTCCTATATCATGTAACAATGATCTATAGAGACGAAATAAATAAATATCACAATATACAGTAACTTAGAGGAGGAATAACACTCTAATCTACATTCATTGTTAACTCATGTCTGGTTATATTGTGGCATATATCCTGAAAGCCAGCAGAGACAGCTGTTGCTTCAGGCAACAGCCACTGCTAGGCAATGGCTCAGTAGCGATTGTCTTGTGACACCAACAGACACCACTGCAACAACAGAAGACAGAATTTGCTACATGGTCTATGCCAGGGTTATATAAAGATTGGACTCCACAATAGGCTTAAACTTGGCGATGGTCAAGCTAATGACCGTTCAAGTGACTGCTGTTGTAGTTTGAGATAGGTAAGATAAGCATGATCTGCTTTACTAAGCCTGACCTGATAGAGGTCTTGTATAAAGTGTAAAAGGAAGAATTTTCAATAACATGCTATGTGTAAAAAAAAAAAGTAAAGCTATCCCTGTAACAGGCTATGAAGGCCCATAGGGTGCAAAACATAAACCTGACAAAAGGCCATGCATATTCATAAGGGACAAACCCATCTTCTCATCACAGAGGAAATCCAACCCCCATCTATAGTCACTATCGCTTGACAACTGGTGACAACAGCAGACATGTCACATTGCTCCCTCCTTAAGGATATATGTCCCGAGTAGCCTACAGGCTTACCATCATTTCTTCCTTTCTGGTTGGTGTGGGCAAAACTTCCCAGAGTGACCGGCGCTCCTACATTTCTGCCCCTTAAGCTGCCTGCAGTAACTTTTTCCACTTCAGCAGTGGCCATCTTCCACACAATGGATTCACACTCTTTTTCTGAATCCTCACAGAAGACCTGACTGTTCACTTCACAATCTCCAGCCCGACTGTTTGTCCCAGGGCCTCATAAAATGTCTCCTGCTTCATCCTCTGATTCTGTTGCCAGGTGTCTTGCTAGGTCCCCTAAAACCATATTCCTTACTCAACGCAGAAACTGGAATCCGGGTCAACCGTCCGTGGCTGACGGCCACCTTCTGCCGGGACCCACCATTGCCCTGGGTCTGTTTCTCCAGGCATCTGCGACGCCTTATGGGCATATGTCGGTCTCCATATCGGTCCTCCAGTGCTCTGAATGCCTCCATGGTTTGTGGGCAGTGTCCATCATCCGGTATTCTAAAAAGCTAGAGAAAACTTTTCAGACACTGGATCTGTTTCAATCCTCAGGTGAGGGGGCAGACACATGCTCTGTTGTGTCTCTTAGAAAGAACTAACTTCAATTACTTTTTGATCACAGTATGTATTCATAAAGATCTGCAGAAACTGAAGTTTACTGGTGTAATTAAAACAGAATTATGAAATGCATTCTAACCACTACCACAAACTATAAATCAATACTTTCACATTACTATAGCACCCTCAGATATTCTACATGCTTGGAATGGTATATGGTAAATCTGAAATATGTGTAGAATTCTCTATTTGTTCTGAGGTTGGAAACATGAAATTGACAGAATACTTGCCAGGAAAGTTATGTTTTTATATTAGTACTACGGGCTCTTTCATGTACTCACAATGCAATCATATCACCCAATGTTGAAAAATATGAGTCTCAAGAGGCTCTTTTAAATAATAGTTTTCAATAAACATGATGACGGCTCATGAAAATGGGGCTGTTGGCAGATTCAGTACTAGCTGCAACCAGCACCTGCACAATCATAACTCATCTAATGCTATTATGACTTTATTGTATACAGAAATACTGGATAAAAATAATTATAACAAAAAAATATGAGTAATTATGTACTGGCCTCCAAGTTAAAGCCTCACAATTAAGAACTCTTGACAAAACTTCACAGAACAACAGAAGAAAGCACTGTATAAGGTAAAGGCAAGCTCATGTGTGTATACCTAAAGATAATTGGTCATAAGTGTGTAAATTTATAATGCATTTAATTCAGTTAATTTGGGTAATTTGAATGAAATTGTATTAATTTTAAGTTTTTATAGTAATGTTCTTTTTAAATTATGTTTATTAATTATAATTGTAATAAGTTTTTTATTCTATTATCTATGTTAATTGACTAATGTAGGTGATTTTAATTATATAACTTATGTAATTTATTATATGTATCTGGACACATCTATTGTCAAAGGGACTATTTCCACATCCTAGGTTTTTTACCTGTATGGGTATATGGAAAATAAAGGAAATGAATGAATGGCAGCTCTACACTTGTCAACATATTCCACCAAGAAAGAGCTGCTGCCAACAGAATAACTGTCATTCTCACATTCCTGTTCCTCTGGAGATATGAATGAAAATGTTTCATTAAATATACTACTAAGAATGCCCTTCAAAGAATAATAAATTACTCACACCAGCTCGCCAAGATGAAAGTATTACAGCAGACTTGAACAGTAGTAAAGCAGTAGTCTTGCTGTCAAGGGTCAGGTTACCGCTATTTTGAGTGTCGTTTTCTACGTCTTGCATTATTATTTCCAGGAGAATGACAGGATTGTACCTTCAAAAGTGGCATGACCCTTTACTGTAAGTTCTCATCAACTCACCATTCCTTCAATGCTGTAAAACCTATTATGTAATCTACGAGTGAATCAAGTGAGCTATAGATAGCCCCAGACCCACTGCACTCGTGTGTGTGTGTGTGTGTGTGTGAAACAAATAGTATGCCATCACAAGGGTCCTGCTGAACTTACGGTTGTACTATGCGTGGCTTTTTTCTTACACGTGTTGTTTTCCTTGCAAAGAATGTACAGTACGAACACTGCGCTGCTTTGCAAACTGTAGCAGTGACACTTAAATTCTGAAGATGGAGATAGCAGGTTCCTTCGAAACGTTGTTCTCTTTACCAAATTACACGGCATCACATCCCGGAAGACCGTAATCTGTAGCTGTGTAGCCTAGAGAAATGTTACCTATACGGTGCAGTTTGGTTCTCCAAAGATGATGAAGCAATCAATGCAGAATATGATACAATATATATATATACTCACTTCTAACACTGCACTGCACTACTGGCAGCATAGGCTGGCCATTTTTGGCACAAAGTCCGGTCTTCACGACGAGCTATGGTAACAACGTGATGTCCTGCACGAAACTTCCGAAGATGTTACCACAAAGGAAGTCTGCACATTGCAAGAGTTTACTATTTTCAGATACCGTAGTGAATTAATTTTCCTCTGACTAGTTTCACTCTCCGCCTGTGTTAGACAACAGTCAGTTTGTATTAATATGGCGTAAGTTCGATTAATTCAATTTCCTGAGTCTGTCATTATGTATCGACATTATACAGACATTTTGTCTTCTCTGTGTAATCCATTTAAACCCACGAACTCTTCCTTCGACAGCAGGTTTCTCACTGAGAAGCTGACGACGTTTGCAGGAGCCCGCTTACAGATCATTAATTCAAAACTTCACTTCGACCTCAGCAAAACTTGAAACTGAAATCGTAAAAGATTGATGAACCACTTTGATGTTTACCACGGTTACACGGTGTTAAGTCTACTTGTTCCTTACATTATCTTTGTTTCGAAAGATCATGGCGTTTCAAACCAGTGGTTGACCAAGGCTATTGTGTTTCCCGGGGAAGGAGGGGGAGGAGACAGGTTAGCAGGGATTGTTGTACGTAGGGTGTGTAACTGCGTTCAGGCACAGTTTTGGGGCGTCAGATTTAGTATAAATGCTTTCGGAAAAAATATATCTCCAGCAGGCGAAATATTTCTCGAATTTTTTCTTGGTCGTACAGGAACATGAGGCAGCTCGCTGTAAGTGTATGAAAGTTGTAAAGCTATTGTATTTAAGTTACTACTTTCACTTTACAGCCTGACAGGAACTTGCAACAATGTAAAACATTATTCTTCGCTGGTCAGCAGAAAGGGGGGTCGCGTGAATTTATGTGCTATTTGAAGGGGAGTCATTGAATCCCAGTATTTAAGAACATCTGCATTAAAATATTCAGCAAGATCCACATATAACGATATTAAATGATAATCTGAGGATCTCAGAAGTATGCTGAAGAAGAACGCTAATTTGATTCATGACAGGCTCTTTTTCTAACGCTGAATCACGATAGTGCCAAAGGCAAAAAAGAAAATTAATGTCATCTGCTAGTGTTGCACATTTTCCCCCATTGAGCCATTGACAACTTCAAGCATTTTCAGAAAATTACTATGCTGGCACAAAAATTTTCAGCAATCTACTATTCAGTCTCAAAAGCCTTATGAATGGAAAGGCACAATTTAATATAACTCTAAAAGACACTTAAGTGCACACTAATTCTTTTACTCTGTGTGAAAGCTGCAGTTGTATTGTACATATGTTTTGAGCTTTATGACTTATACCACATACAGTGGTCATTTTTTTACAACATTTGTATCCATGGAATTATGTATGTGTGTATGTGGCCAACAATGACTACAGAGTCTAAAACATGAACTGTCTTCACCTGCTCAAACACAGGGGTCATGGGTTCAAATTCTACTCAAGGCTTGGATCTTTGTCTACATTTATTCTGTGTTTGTGTGGTTCTATGTAAGTAGTGGCCTTGTGGCTGGCTGGTCCCTCACCTGAGGAGTCCTACTGAGAGTCCATGGGATTAAGAAACTGTAAAACAGTGGCCAAGGTTCATCACGGACAGTAGCAACCATAAATCATCATCATCATCATCATCACCACCACCATCATCATATTCGTGTCTCTTCCTTATGAGGCGCAAAATATGTTATTCCATTTTCTTGATCATTAGTTTTACAGCTTGCAAGGGATTTGTTTCCCCTTGCTCCAGCCCCTCCTGACCTTTTTATAAAGGCGTATTTTAAAGCTGATTGTGTACTTCTGACCAAGGACAATGTGCTGCCCATAACTTTGAGTTATCAGTGTCTTGAAATGTTTTCAGCCTTACAGACTTTCACTACCATGCCAATAGCATGCTGTTTAGAGGAGGACATAAGGGGTTAAGAATCAGTTCATAAGTCTATATAGATATACTTATGATTTATGTAAATCATAAAAATGTTTAATTGTATTAATTATACACAGTATTTCAGAAAATATTCAGCAGTCTGGTTAAAAGAAAGAAACTTGCTAAGGAAGGTGTGTATCACAGGGAATTCCATTCTCCATATTGTTTGGGCTGAAATTAATGTGCATTAATAAAAGGAAAAGCAATTGTATCTCAAGTGAATTACACCAATGAGGCACATTCATGTTTTCACTCTATTTCCCAGAGATGGGATAAACTATATATGTGTCTTCTCTTAGGAGCAGGGATAGCATAGTCGGTATAGTGACTAGCAACAAGCTGGACGACTGAGAGATCAGAGTTTGAGTCTTGATAGGGCCATGAATTTTCTCTTCTCCATTTCATCCAGACCAGCGCTGGGGTCCACCCAACCTCCTATCCAATGGCTATCAGGGGCTCTTTTCCCAGGAGAAAAGCAGCAGGGGCATGAAGCTGAACACTCACCTCCAGCTAGTGCTCAGGTCAAGAAAATGTGGATCTATGCATCCACTCCCCCATTTGCCTTCATGGTGTAGTGCTTAATTAGTTAAGCACAGGGACAACTTTACCTCTTTCCTTTCATGTGTCTTCTCTTACATGGAGTTATGAGTGAAGTAATGCTGGATCAGTAGGTCCCTACTTACACATTCCTTCTTAAGTACCTGAAAGGTCCTGGGAGTTACACAGGATAAATAATAGTTTTTCATCCATAAATACACTACCACTGAATGCTTAATATATTTTTTATTTTGCACCTCAGCATGGTACAAAAAATAACTGTAATAATAAAAAAGCAACCGAAGGTTTCCACAATACCATAACATGTAATTACAATTTGATTGAGTCCTTCATAACATGAAATTGACCCAATTCATTTGACTGAGTTGTGTGGTGCCAGATTGTGGGTCCTAAACCTAAACACAGTGTTCATATAATATAACTGTACGTGCTGCATATCAGAAAGCATGCCAGGTCTCATTAAGGTAAATTTCTTCACAAACTTTATATTAAAAATGCACACCTCATTAATGGATGAAGATAGCATGTATATGAGGGAAATACATGCATAAAGAGGAATAGACTTCACAGCACACAATTTTCAAACATCCCCTTTTTATCACAAGGAAACTTATAGATGCTTGGGCTGTAGTATTGTTAATTTTATTCTGGCAATGGCAAGAGACGTGCATGTTTTGAAAATGGAGTGTGTTACACTAAATAAGTTACAAAATGCAAAATATAACAGAAATGATCATTGTTCACTTAACATAACTGGTTATTTTTGATATATGCTTTCAAAAAATAATAATTGTATTCCCACATGAAAAAAATTTGTACATGTTTCTCCCAACAAGAAAACCCACCATCATGGTGAACATCCATTTGCTGCTTGGCAGCTCTGGCCATTGCAATTTTGTTCCACATTGCTTGGTCCTGACTTCCATTCTCCCACGATGGCACATACTTTTATTCTTCATATTTTTTAAAATTAAAAGAAGGGATATGTGTAGAAAGGTAAATATTTACATTAGTATAAGTAATTGTTTTTACCTAAACTAATTCCTTGCTGTCATGCGATGTACTTGAAATGAGTAATTAAAACTGCTTTGAATAAGATCCAAAAATATACAGTGTAGTTATTTGTTACTTGAATTGGTACAGAGAACTGAATTTTTATTTCCAATAGCAGTGACAGTTCTAGGACATTACATCATTTTTAGTAACAAATCTTCCCTATTGAGATTCAATATCTCGTCAGGCATAAATTATGTGATTCCATAACACATACTTAACCCAATGCCAATAGTAAAGCTGTAATGGAATGTTTTGTTCCTAACAGTACTTATGCTGCCCTAACAGGGAATAAAGGCATAATGTCCCATGCATGATCTTCTGATCAGAATAAAAATTGAAACAAATACAACTCATAAAGGAAATTACTTTAAAAGTGTCACAGGTGTTTCTGTACAACCAGCATTTGCTTGCATTCATGGGAGGTTATCAACTTAAAAATGTGAAAAATATGGTCTTCTGGGCTTTTAATATTATGTAGTTCAGAGAAAGCCCAACATTTGAGAGGAACATATCACCTCCATCTGCATAGTTAAAGAGTAAGAAAAGCAAGAAACTAGCAGAAGCAGTTGGCAACAGGGTTCAGGTTTTCTGTCTGCTTTTGCTGTTTTTTTTACTTACTCTTGAACCCTGAAGATGAACATGTTAGGTCCTTAAACATTGGGCATTCTTTCAACCACATAGCATTACAACTCAGAAGACCATACTGTTTATAATCACTGCCATGAAAAACTCAAATCCCAAAAATTCAGAACACGAGTCTATATATATGATCTCAAAATTCAGAACATGTCTATATATATGATCCCAAAATACACAATGTTGTTGTTTGGTACACTGATCTGTCTCAAGAAATGAGAACAGTCCTAATAGATGGAAACATTGCTGGCTGATATATCTTTCTTTCCTGCTACTTGGATACCTCAATAATTTTGTAAATATATTTTTCCATACTGTGAATTACAAATGCTAGATCTTCAGGTGCATGTTCTGTAACTCATTTCCTAGTTAGTGCAAGGCTGCTTGGGAAGCTTGAGAACCATCCAACATATTTTAAAGGTTGGTACTTTGGCAGAAAAGATTTCCAAATCTATATGAATTTTACATACAAGCTAAGGGAAGATATATCTCCCCCCCCCAAATCCTGAGTTGTAAGAGATTTCAGAATTTCAGTGTTCTCAGATGTTTGCTAACAATGATATAGAATCAACCATATAAGGCACATAATTCTCTAAAATAGCAAAGAATCAGGAGAGTTCATTTCTGTTGTTAATAAAGTAACTTATTTGATATCATGTACAGTAAATAATTATTATTAGCAATGCACCTCTCAAAAATTTAATCAGAGGAAAAGAAAACAATTGCAATATATTTTATGACAAGATTTTTTTTAATCTTACAGTAGAATTTTGTATTGCTCTAGTCTATTTGTTAAACCTAACTCTACTACAAATACTTTTCTTTTTGGCACATGAATATTGCAATCAGTTCTCTAATTTACTGTTGTGCTTCTGTTAAATTAGATGATACAATTTCGATGTAATAGTATGCTTTTAAGATTTTTCTCTCAGGAAGTATAGGCTTAATGATTATCAGCAAACAGCAAAGAGGCTACACTACAATTAAAGAGTTTATATTAGCTTAAATAATATATTTTTGAGAGATACATTACAATACATACAAACACATCTCTGCTGTTACCCATGAAAATACTTGATACTAAAATATCTTAAGTGAAATATAAATGTATCAAAATGTCTGCAACAATAATAATAAAAAATGGGCAACACACAAAGAAGAACAAAAATACTACGCAATAAATTAGGGCACACACGATTAATATACAAAACACGTACTCACATAACTTTTATATTATTATTATACTCATATAAAACACAAACGAGAAGTTTGGAGACCGGCCTTGTTCACAATAACCTTCACCATCACCACTAGAATATATAAATATATTAAATGATGGTTCCTTAGTCTTCATTTCTAAAATGAATCTAATGAAGTTTTGCTGTTAGTTAATATGGTGAAACAGAAAGCAATAAAATGATAATTATATTTATTACGTACTTGGTAATCCCTCTGAGAAAAACTGTTTATGTTGATTATTTGAAATTCTACTGAATGAAAGCTTTAAAAAACACAACAGAAACTCAGGTACGCAACAATCAACCAGTGGGGGTTTGTTTGAAAGAAGTCCATACAATTTTCCCTTTTCCAAATGTATACAAAATTCCAGATTAAATTCCTCTTCCTTCTTTTTAGCCTTTGTAAGAAACTTAATCAAGTAACAAAATCCAATAAAATTAATTACAATATCTATGATTATTCTTATTGAGCTTTCTACCTGGTTTATGTTCAAGTGCCCATTTCATAACCTAATTTCCTCTTACTATTAGGTAGAAATGATTACTTTGAATTAGCTTAAAAACTATCATATTGATAGTGATTTTAATGTCTTTTGTGTATCACAGTGACCTATGTACTGGTAGCAATCATGAACAAAACACTATTGCCTAATGAAAATTGTGTGCTACTATTATTATAAAATATGTAAAAATGAACTTGTAACAACACCTCAAATTTCCTCCAGTACAAGGTTCCTTATTAGTATTAACAATATAGGAGACTATCTTCTAAGATAATAACAATATCCTACTAATAATTATTACATAATTATTGGAAGACAGAGTTAGTCTTTTATCAAGCAGTCAAAAGCAATATGGCTTTTATTATCTGATAATAATGTTGCATTGAAATAATGACTTCTGCATTAACAATGTATTTCTCAGCACATTCTAGTGTAAGAGATAATGGATATTTCTAATCATCCTATAGCTGTACATTGTTTAAAGAATTGCTTGAACATGTGACTTTTTGAAATATTAGCAATAGTAAGCAACAGGATGTTTTCAACTTCATCTATGGGCTGTAAATAATTTGCTATATATGGAAGAAGCAATTATCAGAGTCACAAATCTGAATGACAATAGCAATTTTACAGTTATGGATGTAAATAAAATTATTATGAATTATGAATTTGGCTGCAAGTTGTCTCACGTTTTTCAGCCAAAGATAAGTAGCAAGGCTGTAGGATCTTCTTGTAAGTCACAATATTGGAGAGAATTCATGTGCTGTTCAGGGTGGTGTGTTGTTTGACATCACATGGTTTGAGGGACTATTAACTATAAAACTGCTGTCAGTATTCCACCATATTTTGTATATCTCTAGCCAAGACCTTTCCTTGGCTGTTCAACAGAGAGGAGCACTTTGTTATGTTCATTTGTGCTATTTTAAATGTTCTCTGACATTCTGAGATCAACAAACCCTGAAACAGGTCTTTCTAAAATTAAAAACACAACAAATATAATATAAAACTTATGTTTGATTCTTACAACTCTACTGTTCCTCATCTAAGAAAAGATGACATCAGAAGAATTTAGATTCAAATGCAGTAGTTTGTTATCTAATTTTACAAACAGGGCAGGTTCATGTATGTATATGTATATATAATCTTTGTCATATTTTTACAAAACATTCTCTCCAAACCGATTTTCGTTTTTTACATTTCATAAGTTGTCATTTTTTCTGTTTATCTTGACAAAGTTAATACAGTAGAAGTCTTTTCAATTCCCTCTCACTGGAGAAGCAGAACACACACTCGGGCACTCTTCCATCATTCATTCACTCACTTGATGTTCTCTGAGTCCAATTCCTGAACTTGGTCTCATATACACGGTTATTTTGATATCTGTTTCATTGTATAAAAAATAAATATAAACAATAACCATCACTCTCAATGTTGTCAATAAAGCACATTTATTCACTGGTTTACTAGAAGACAAACATCATAATCTTAATAGAACATATATTTTAATTTTCACTCTAACATAAAATAACAATAATTACTATGATATAGTAGTAATTATATTCAAAATGAACAATGTAAACGCACTGAAACACTTTGCCCCCATGGCATCGCAAATGAAAGACTGATATAGATGAGGCAATATTATATCCTGCTACTAATGATCCATAAGTTCAATGAGTGTGACTTCAAAAGCATCATCCCCCTCCACCTGTTTTATATCCAGAAGAAACAGGTCTTCATTGCAGTAGTACTTGAGCATATCATCATCAATTTTGGCTATAATCCTGAAAAAAGAAGGGATAATAGTAGATAATACTATGACAAGAGAAGTGTTATTTATATTATAAATTAAATATCATACTGCCATCCTTTCATCTACTGAAATTAAGCAATGAATTATATGAAGAAGCCCAAATATCTAATTGCTAAATATCATTCTAAAAACTATCATTTATCTACTATGTGAATGATTAGTGCAGATGCTTTGTTAAAAAGTTAGTAGAAGCTTTGTTATTCTTCTTAATAAGTTAAATAATTATTAGTAAATCTCGTTTGTCCAAAATTTCTACTTGAAGAATAGTTGGTTCATTTTCCTTCTGGATATTGTTCCTGTAACATTTTTGTATAAGTCATAACAACTTAACTACAAAGGGGAAAACAAATAGACAATTTTTCTGAGCAAAACTTACCCTTTTTTGTTTTTTCGATACAAGTTACTAATGCTTGAAGTAGAAATTTTGTACTTATTCTCAATCTGGAAAATAAGGAAAACAGATTAATAGTTACTGGTATTGATTTTTGGGCAATAGGTTTTGATAAGAGTCAGAGGATGGGCCTACTTCCATTTTATTTATCATATTTTTACTTCCTTGGAGATAAAGGTGAATCTTTCTACTGTCTGTTCCTATTTGTTTTCCAGAGCATAATATAATTGCCAAAACCACTAACTTTGTTCCCATTGGTGAAACCTAGTAGACACATGCAAGTTCTGCTGGTGTTAGTCATGAACATACATAATGGCCATCCACACACACACACATGCAAATATTTGAGAGGGAGAAGCCGGCAAACACTTACCTATTACTGCACTAAGGTACTGGTAGCACTATATTCTCTAACAAGTAACTTTATTGTCTTAATGACAGCCATATTCAGAGACTGAAATATGGGTAATCAACTACAATGAAATAAGCAGATTTTGCAAATTATTATTGCTGTGTATCTTTACAGACCACTTGTTACTTGGCAATGCTATTATTTTAATAGCACAGCAAGTAATTTTTACCTTTTGTTCCTACCAAACTTCTTGAAAAATCACACAGTTGCAGTACTATTTTCAATTATCTGTAAATAAATTTTATATAATTGTGAACTTAAATTATAATTGAGCATATTACTGTTCATTATTCCCAGCACATCATAAATAACTGTACTTTGATCACTCTATAAATTATGTAACAGCACATTTTGATTATGGCACACATATTCCTAATAAACAAACAAAATTACAGTTAGAAGGAAAGTTCAGGCACGACAAGATTTCTAGATCCTATCAGTATGCACCTTTACAATCATACTGTGTTTACGAGCATTGTCATCATTGATATTAATTAAAGGTGTAATTATATTAAACCAAATCTTCTTGTTCCAGAACATGAACCACTAATCAAGTATTCTTTCATTGAACTTGATTAGATTTAGATTATGAAAAAAAAAGGAGCACTGACTAGTCATATAACTGTATTCCTTGTGTTGCGGGAATTTCTATGTGAAATATTTTCCGTTTTAAAGTAGTGTTAAGAAATCATACCATGTGAAGATTCTTTTATTTTCTGAAATTAAGTTATATTGTATACTGTTGGTGTTCATAAAAATTATTTCTAAGGGACCCAACAGAGTAGGTGTCTTCCCTCACCTGAGGACGGAAACAGATCCAGTTTCTGAAACGTTGTGTTTTTAGTTATTTCGAATCCGGACGATGGACAAATTCCAAAAACCCAGTATCTCTATGTGTCATACACCATCGTTAGAACCCTATAGTATCTACTTATTACTGAGAAGTTTCACAGTTTTAGATATATTGCCTGCAGATATGTATACAGTTTCCTGTGGTATAATTTCTGAATATGGCTGTGAATAAATACAATTAACTACTGAAATAAAACAATGTTTATATAAACATAACTCTTCCAGTTTTGTTATGCATACTTCTCCCTATATTTTTTCCTCTTACTTTCTTGCTAAAAGTTCTAATATAGTGGTGTGCTTCATTTGGCTGCAAATATCTATGGAAATAAAAAAAAATAAATGCAGTCTTCAATATTATAATATATTTCAGCGTCCTGTTGCTTTGATGTATCACTCCTTCACTCATTTTCATCTCTAATGCAACCCAAAAGCATTCACAATCTCGTATTTATTTTAAAATGCCACTAAAATAAGCAATTGCAACATGTTTCTTCCTTACAAGGCCACCTTCAGGCAATTGTTCACTGACTGAAACTGCCGCACTGCACCAGTTTATACGTTCATGTATCTCAGGCTATTGCATATTGTTGTTTACACTAAAATGTCTTTGTTTGAGAATAAACACTCTCTCTTCGATCTGCATTATTTTCATTTTGCAGTGCCCATGTTGTGCCCCTTTCATGTATCTTTATCATTAGTTGGCCATGTGTCCTTGTATTAAATACAAGGACGCCACAAAATGAAAATAACACAGAGCAAAGAACAAATTGTAGCGTGAATAACAGTATGCAATAGCAGAGCATGCATTGACATACACACTAGTGCAGTGCAGCAGTTGTGTTTGGTGAATGGTTGCCTGAAGATGACCTTGTAAGGCCGAAATATGTTGCAATTGGAGGTGATTTTAATAACATTTTAAAATAGAGGAGCTAATGTGAACGATTTTGTGTTGTGTTCAAGGCAGAAACAAGAGAACCAGTTTTTAACTTAAGAATTACAGATGAACGAGGCCCACAGCTAAACATATGCAGTACCCAACACAGGAAAATAAGGAATCCATTTTCTTAACCCAAAGAAACGTTGTCTACCCTTGGCCAATACTTTAATATAGTTATGCACTAACCGCATTGAGTAGCCCTTGTGTCGTAGGAGGAATAACATGCAGAGGTGTATACACGTCCTCTGTATCCTGACGGACATACAGCATCACTCGTTCATTAAGTGACGGTGCTGCCATCATTTTTGCCCTCTTGATTGGTGGGCTTGAGAAAACATTTCCATCTGTTGATAAGTTTGCACCATCAATAATTCCATCCTTCTTATCACTGCAAACAAACAATCACAAACCAAAACAGAATGATCATTAGGTTTTAAACAACAGGTACATATCATTGAAGCTACATAATTTTATGGCATTAGAGGTAATAAGAGACTGGTGGAACCACCAGTAAAAGAAATTAGGAAAATATAAAGAAAATACAAGCACAGATTTATCCACGACAAAACCCCAGAAGCAACAACCAGGTATAATTTTTTTGTTTCTTTCACACACAGCCTGTGCAGTTGTCCTGCAAAAGAGAGGGATAACATATAATACAATAAGTCCCCAGCTTATAAGGGTTCAAATTACACAAATCCTTAGATATATGAATAGAACAGAATGTTTTCTTATATTTAAATAATTTAGGTTCTTTGAATTCTATGGTCATTAGTAGTTGATATACAGGTTTTGCATATTCTCATATGTCATAATATGGTACTTTATGATACATTTCTATTGTACAGACTTCTTTTAACTGTAACTGTCTCTTGAAATGAATGTTCATGTCAGAAAATATATTGTACATAAGCAATGTTGTACTTACTTGGCTTTAAATTTGCAGAAAAATTTCCAGAACAAATTAACTGTGTAGATTGGGGACATACTGTCATCAATTTTTTGGCATTTGAATATTTTATTAGCTAGGTTATTGTAACGGTATTTATTACATAGTGCTGAAGCTGGAGGTCACATCAAAAAGTTCTCTTGTTTGCAAATATTTGAATCTTTAATTTTACAATATTGCATGATTACATACATCATTCACTAAAAACCCAGTCCTGTATCGCCATGTGTCCTTATTCTGTGATGATTTAGAGCTACCATCTGCCATGCTATGAAGTACTGTCAAGGTTTATATAAAGTAAAAGTAAAAAGTGAAGATATCTCTGTAGCAGGCCGTGAAGGCCCATAGGGTTGTGAGATGTTGAGGTTTTCACATTTCTAGACAATTGGCTCATAGATGGTGGTAAGGTTGTCAGCCCTACGTGCTGGCCGCCCTTTACCTCCAACAATATACCTGATACTCATTTCCATTAGAGGCTGAGTCGCCCCCAGGGCTATAGTGCGGCTGGAAGGATTAGGTCAATTGAAAAAATCCAATGACCTCATTGTACTTGAACCCACAATCTTCCGGCTTGTAGCATAGTGCCTCAACCAACTACGCTACCACGTGCCCCCCAATGTTTATATATGGCATTACAATTTTATGTTTGGAGGTTTTTATGATACTACAAGATTCCAACATTTCTTGTAATTTTATTATATCTCCCGGTTTTACTTACAGATGTCTCTTTCTATCAGTACATCAGTTAGGAGTCTCAAGCAAAATATTTAACAATGTTAAAAAAATTGTACTTTTCCCATCCTCTGTTTCAATACAAGGTCTCATACAGTAACGCATTTAATGATATCCCTAAGTGTACCAAAGAATAGTGCAAAAAGCTGCCATGCAGGAAAAGGACAGACAGAGTGTATCCTCTTACCCAGGTGTGTCCGGGGGGAAGTGGTTGTGGAACTTGAGAGTCGGCGTGGTGCTTGGTTTGCTCGTATGCAGGAGGAAAGGCAATCCCTGCTTCCCAAGCCCATGCTGAGACCCAGAACTTGCCTCCCCATTCGACAGGCTGATCACCAAAATGAGAAGAATTAAAATTAGGCCAAAATATATATTTTACAGGCAAATTAGGTACTAGCAAAAACTTATCCCTCAAACTTCTCATGATCCCCCCACCGGTGGTTTTAAAGTGCCACCTGATCATTTCAAGGTAAGCTATTTTTGTAATGCCATGTTAAATAAATAGATCTGAGGTTTGCCGAAAAACTTTCTTATTGAAAGGTATGGTTGTCGTATTTAATTAATCTGAGAGAAAAAAGGTGTTTGATAATCCAAAACTAAAATATCATTCTCATGTAAAATTATTATGACAGTTTTCACACTTTGATACTTTTGAATAGTTGGTATGTGAAACTACTCAGTGTATTTATAACTTCTTTTCCAAACCAAAAAATGATTAAGTAAATTTTGTAGAATATTTTAGACCACTGTATAGTGACATATTCGTAAAATACTGTAACCATTGTATGAAGGAAATAAAACCTTCACGAGACTTGTGTTTTTATCATATTGTAGCATAAACCTTAATTAATTAATAAAATCCTTGGAAGAAATGGGTCCTCATGTAAAATAAGCTGGACATGCATATTCTGAAGCAAATGATTGCAGTGGCTTTATTATACTGTATCTACCAGTAATTTAAAATATTCTTATTCCCAAGCTGTTTATCTCAAAGCAAAATAAGAGACCACAAATAACAGCAATCATGCCATATTACTGTCTGTTCAGTAGATCTGACGGAGTTTTACTGATGCAATGTGCACACACATATAATACACAGAAATGTATATCTATTTATAACATATTCTGTGCTGGAAGAAAAAATTTCTTGTTTTGGCATGGTCTCATAATTTTAAGAAGTTCATGCCATTTCATGCGTATTCAATTTAGACAGCTTTATGCAAAGGAATAGGAGGAGGATTTATCCAAAAACATGAGCACACAGAAATGCATGCAAAGAAGGCACCACAAAAAGCAAAGCTTTATGAATATAAACAATACATAAACATTACACACCTTGAACTGTCGGTCTCATGCCCATAGAATCCCTGTAGTTCCATTGAAGTCAGCTGAAACAAAACCATAACAACCACATTTTTAAAAATGACATTGATAAGAGACAGAATTACTATTGTATTACTGTGAGATGTGCCTGCACTTCTTCTTGCCATTAAGTGAACATGGAACAACCATAATCTCTAAATAAACTTCCATTAAATTTGGTACTGAGAGTTCATACTAATACAGCTTTTGGAGCATAATGGAAAACCTGGGCTGTCAATTTTTAGTCATACATAAATTCTTCACACTAAACTCTTAGTACTTACTGATATTAAGGTTCTGCGTCATGTTCTCTCTATTCAGTTAAACCAGTCTGCATGGAATCTAATAGGCCCTTAGCTAACTAACTTCATACAGTGGTCATTTTGAAGAAGCAAATAATCATTTTTATGGAACCTGAGCCTTCCACAAGACCTTGTAACTAGCTAACTTCATGGAGATGAGCCCTTCTTGAGAAGCTGCTAGTGTGCAGCTACTCAAGAACTTCCCAACATTTAAAATTTTATGGAACCTGAAGGTTTATGTTCACAAGGGCCCTCCACTGGTTCATATACTGAGCCAGATCAATCCAGTCCAAACAAATCCATCCTATCTCTCTAAGATCTGTTTCAATATTATCCACCTACCCACGTCTTAGTCTTCCTAGTGGTCCCTTTCCTTCTGGCTCTCTGAAAAATATTCTATATCAATTAATCGTTTTTGCCCCATTCTTGGTACATGCCCTGCCCATCTCATCCTCCTCAACTTCATCAATCTAATTATACTTGGCGAAGAGTACAAGTTATGAAGCTCCTCATTACGCAGTTTTCTCCAACCTCCTGTCACTTCATCTCTCTTCAGCCCAAATATTCCCCACAGCATACTATTTTCAAACACGCTCAGTCTGCATTCCTCCTTTAATGTCAGAGAACAAGTTTCACACCCATACAGAACCACAGGCAAAATTATAGTTTCATATAATTTAATTTTTATGCTTTTAGACAGCAGACGAGAAGACAGAAGATTCTGGTCAGAATGGTATGAAACATTACCTGAATTCAGTCACCTTTTAATTTCTTCCTGACTCAAATTTTGATATAATACTGTTGTTTCCAAGTATTTGAAATGTGCCTCATCTTCGAAGGATCTGTTATCTATCGTTATGACATGATTTTGCCCTGTATTCTAGTGGTGAGACAGCAACATATACTTAGTTCTCTCAGCGTTTACTTCTAGACCAACCTCCTTACTAGTGTCAATTAAAGTTTCTGTGTGTAGTATCTGTTATCTTCCATAGTTTCACATCATCAGCTTAGTCCAGCAGCTGATGTGTGCCCTTTAATTCCAGTCCCTCCCGGTTTTGCTGAACTTTCCTAAGGGCATATTCTAATATTATATTTAAACATCCTGGCATATTCTAAAGTAAAGTTGAAAAGCAGTGTCGATAAAGCATCTCCTTGTTTTACACCATTTTTGATGGTAAAAGTATCAGACAAATGTTTACCTATACAGCACTTTACAATATGCTTTATTGAAACACATTTTAATCAGCTTAACTAGTTTCATGAGTAGCGCAAACTCTATGAAAATATTGTACAATACTTCTCTCCCAGCTGAATCATAGACTATCTTGAAGTCTATAAATAGCTGATGTACTGTTTTATTGTACTCCAATTTTTTTTCTCCAGCATCTGATGAGCGCAAAAATTTTTATCCGTAGTTTGTCTGTTATATCAAAACCCAGACTGATTATTCTCAATAAATTCATCTATATATGGACTAAACCTTGAGACTGTATGATGTTGATAACAATGATACCCCACAATAATTATTACGGTCAGTTTTATTGTCCTTCTTGTGATCTGGTACAATAGTGGACTCCTCCCACTGATCAGGCACTTCTTCCATATTCCAAACAGAATAAATGAGTTAGGGATCTCAGACTGTAATATTTCACCTCCCGCTTGATTCAGTTCTGCTGCAATTTCATTTATATATATTCAACTTTCCAGAAGACCTTATCCTCTATAAAATTAATTCATTCCACATCCTCAAACCCTATTTCTTTAAGATCCATTTTGATATTTTATTCCCATCTATGCCTAGGACTCCATATTGGTTTCCCAATGCCTTAAGCGGCAATAATATAAAACACACCAAATTTGTGCTATGATAAACAAGTGAGCTCAGCTTGGATCTAGGGCTCAGGTAGTTCCATTAAATCTCCCTATTCACACTGTAATACAGTCTGTGTGCATATGTGTTGAATGTCAAACCCCCTGTAGCATCTAACAGCAGAAAATATTACAATTTGTATATCTTCTGCTGTGCTTAATGTACCAGAACTGATCTCAGAGTAATCATTCTGGATACAATGACTGTAAATAGCATAGTAAACGGCTAGCAATAAACATATCAAGTTCACAGAACCATCCTCATGGATAGGAAAAGACTCTAGAGGATCCACTGCAGTATACTGCAATGTACTTGTTGAAACAATCAGAAGTTTCTAGACTATTTTCAAACTCATCTGTGAATTGTAGCCTGTTGGTTCGAAATAAATACTGAATGTAATACCAAAAGAATAAATAATCACTAAATACTAAATACTAAATATTTATTAGCAAAAGGAGCTATATAATTAAGTATAAATTTTTGGTTTATTCAAAATTTAATTTCATCCAATCTAGAAAGTATCAAATCTGATATTTATAGTAATAAAATTGAACTTACTAATTAACTCCTAAAGATATACAGGGGAGATCATAAAGTGATACGGAAGAACTAAAGATCTTCTATACTACAGTAAGTAAAAGTAAGTAAAGGTTATCCCTGTAACAAGCCATGGAGGTCCATAGGGTTATGAGATGTTGAGGTTCCTACATTTTCTAGACAATCGGCTCATAGATGGCAGCAAGGTTGTCAGCCTTATGTGCTGGCCACCCTTTACCCCCAAGAACATTCCAAGCATATTTCTGGTACTAATTTCTGTTAGATGCTGAATCGACCCCAGGGCCATAGTGCGGCTGGAAGGGTTAGGTCTACTGATAAAATCCAGTGACCTCACAGGAACTTGAACCTGTGACCTTCCGGCTTGTAGCATAGTGCCTCAAACAATTACATTACTGCGTATCCCCTCTAAACTACAGTAAAATTGTTTTTGCAGTTCTGTCTCTTTAAACTTTTATATCTTTCATGTAGACCAGTGTCTCTACCAAGAAACCATTCTCATCTATGATTACCCCCTTTGCTTTTATTAATGTATGTTACAGTCATCAAATCATGACAAATAACTATTTAATGATACCATTTATAATGCTTATGTTTTCATTTTAAAAATAATGAAAATATATTTAGCACTGAAATAGGGTTACTGTCAACAAATTATTCATATGTATATGTAATCTAGAATATTTTAATTTGGGATTGCTGTTGAGAAAATTTATTGCCAGAATTAGTCAACTATAACAAGACTNTGAAAAATATTCTATATGAATTAATCGTTTTTGCCCCATTCTTGGTACATGCCCTGCCACTCTCATCCTCCTCAACTTCATCAATCTAATTATACTTGGCGAAGAGTACAAGTTATGAAGCTCCTCATTATATAGTTTTCTCCAACCTCCTGTCACTTCTTCTCTCTTTGGTCCAAATATTCTCACCACCCTGTTCTCAAACAC